TTTCCCTTCATCATGATTTTCTCCCACTGATTTTTCTAACAAGATTTTTAATGATATAATATATAATACCATAATATGAAGTACTCTTTTTTCTTTACTAAATTTTTGTCCAACATGATTTTTTCTAATAAGATTTTAACAAGACATCTTCTCAAATAATTAACATCATAAGAAGAGTATTATGAATATATAATGGTAATTGTCTATTATTACGTTTATATTTCACTTTAATATTATTATCTTATTTATAATTATTTATGAGTATAATAAATTATTTTATTATTAAAAAAACTCTATTATCTTCTTTATATTATTCTTTCAATATCTTTTGTTTTTCTCTCTTATACTTATATATTAGAGTTTATGAATTTTCATAACATTAACTGAATCAAGAAAATCATTGACCAGATGTTGGGATCAGCCAAAATATATATTACTTAGTGCGTGTTTGCTTTAGCTTTTGAACGTGAAAATTTACGTTTATGGGAAGCAAAAAATTGTAGCTTCCACGTAAATTACCTTGCAAACGTGGAGAGAGAATGAGAAAATCACGTTTGTAAATCTAAACCAAACACGCACTTAATCTAATGACTCAATTCAATTCACCGAAATATAATATAATTTGATCAAATTGATTGAGTTCGCGGATCGATTCACTTAAATCCCTATAATCTTTACCATCATAGATCATGTATTTAGCTGACTCCTGAAAAGGGTATTATAGGTTGTGTTAAACAAGCTACTTTAAATTGGTAACATGTATGTTCTTTCAACTCCATTAATTTAACAATTTCATTTGTTTATCTTTGTTTCTTCCCATTTATTTTGGTACTCAAATATGTTCTTACATTAATAAATCAAAATAATTTATTCCTGCATGAATATAATTCTATAGAATTTGTTTAGAGACGCCGATTTAGAAATTTTTTCTGTTATTTTTTTTTTTACAAGATTCTAAGAGAAAATTAAACCAAAACCTAACTAAAAGTAAATCCAAGCTAGAGTGAAGTTCAATATTCAAATGATAGAAACATGTAACAAGGATTAAAAAAAAAAAAAGAGATATATAACATTAAAATAAGGAAGGAATAAGTTCGGCTCATGTTCGTAAATCTCATTTTGGATACTCAAACAATAATATGAGATTAAAGTAGGTTTAAATATGTTTTTGTTTTAAATTAAAATTTATTTCTAATCTTTCAAATTTCAAATTATTTTTTTTTATTTCTGTAAATTTTCAAAATTTTATTTGTCCTTCAAATGACTAGTAATATATATATATATATATATAATAGATTCAGATAATTATGTATTATCAATAGATTAAATGTGATGTTTTTATTAATAATAACACTAATATGCATGTTTTATTTGATAATATTTAATAAGTTTTTAAACAAAATTTAAATATAAAGATTAAAATAAAATTTTTAATTATAGAAATTAAAAAAATTAATTTTAAATTTAAAATATGAAAAATAAACTTACTTAAAATATTAAAATATTACAGATTCTTAGTTCAAGAACTGTAATTATGACTTAAAATAAATAAATAAAAACATTGAAAAGTGATTTTTTTTTAACCGAGATATTCTTACTTTTCATGGATGAAGATATTTTGGTTGAAATTGAATGTAGTTAACGATGAGTGAGTGAATCAACAGTGGTATTGGTGATGATAACATAATCCATCTCCATAACTAGTAAGGTTCTGTTCTTTGTTGGGACCAAATGTGCCTTTTTTGTTTGAAGGTATATGCTCGTCGTTGATGGTGGCGAATTTTCTTCTTTTTTTAGGGCTAAACTGTAGTAGATATTTTGGTGTGTAGCTGAGTTGTGTATAAGATATTTTTTTCGACTTTTGAATCCACGGAGGCACAATAACGCTTCTTTTTCATCGTCGTGGCAATGCACTTTTCACTTTTTGCATTCTAGATATTTCCAGTTTAGTGCATTTCCCACGCGCACCTTCTCTTCCCCACCCTTTCTTCACTCTCGCTCTTTTCTCTTTTTCAATCACCCATGGATTCTTCTCAAATATTGTTTTTGTTATGATGAATAAACAAAGAAAAGTAATCAAACATGGTTTTTTCAAAAGTTAATTGTTGTTTTATTTTTTTTTCTAATTTAATTTTAATATATTTTTTTACTAGTTAAATTAATTTTAATTTTATTTTGTGTGTCTTATACAAAGTTTATATTGTTAGAGTCTTTAATTTTATTTGCATTAAAAAAATGTAAATTTAAGAGTAAACTTATTGGATTTTAAAATAGAAAAATTTTAATTGACTAAAAGAATAAGATTAAGATCTTACATAATTAATTTAAAATATTCAAAAGTGCAAGTAGACATTTTTGTAGTTCAAACGAGGGATCCACAAGAATAAAATTTGTACATTTTTTTTTTTTGTTAATGAGTTACTATGTGTTTATATTAGTTTTTTTTATACATCTAAATTTATATATTTGATTGTTTGATTCGCACTACCGATGGCAGTAAATTAATAGAACTTAGTAAAAAAAAAATATAGAACTTAAAATACTAACTAATAAATTTTGAACCAATTTTAATAGTGGTTTTATTAAAATTTAATAACCAATAAAAACAGTAATTGATTTAAAGTGGACCCAAAGTAGTATTGTATGGAACTTTTTGACATTTTCTTCTAAGATCTTTTCCTTTTTCCATATGTAAAGTTGTGGTGTAGGGGACATTCCACGCGCCCATTGTTTGTCGCGTGAGCTTTTATCAAACGGTATCACGACGACCATGTGCCAATAACTGATTCTCTCTCATAGATCCATTTGCTAAAAGACCCTCATATTCTTCTATATCCCAATTCCCCTAAATATCTCCTATTTACTTTAAATTAAATTATTAATAGTATTATTACGTGACTCTAATATTAGAATAATAATGTAATTAAAAAATCTAAAAGCCTGTAAATGGCGTGTATTTTCTATTAAATAAGCTGAGTTCAATTTATTAAAACATTTCAATTTAAATTAAAGACTAAATACCATTTAAGAAATTCTCTTTTTTTTTTTTTTACAAATTTAAATAAAACAAAAAAATATGAATAATAGATTTAAATACAAATAAATCTAATTATTATAATTGATCTAGTGATGGATATTGAAATAATACACACAATTTTAAATTTAAATTATATTATCATAATTATAATTCTTACAAATAAATAAATAAATAAATCATTAATAACTTGTAAATAATTTTTTACTAATTTTATTTCATTTAATATTATAATTTTAAAAAATAACGAGAGACTCGTGTTACTTAATTAAGAAAAATATTTACCTATCTAATGTTTATGAATTAAGAGAGATTGTTTCTATATTTTAGAAAGAATACTCCTTACATTTGATCACATTAAAAACATGTTGGTAATAAATTTTGATTAAGAGGCAAAGTAAAAGTAAAAAAAAAGACGATAGTCGAAATGAATCTTTATGATAATAACAGAATTGCCCTCGCAATGTTGCGTATATATAGCAATGCCCCAGCAGGAGCGAAGTCACACAACAATTTTGGCAATGTCTGAGCCTTGTTCTTCATGAACTCATCCTCCTCCGCCGCAGAGTCCACCATGGAAGACCCATCCTCCGGCCACCGCCGCTCCAAGAAGCACCACCGCAGCCACCGTCACCGCCCCTCGACGACGGCGGAGGAGTCGGACGGCGAGGTGGATGAGGGCGACCCGGAGGCGTGGGCCACCCTGAACAAGGGGTTCCGGCAGGTGCAGTCGGTGCTGGACCGTAACCGGCTACTGATTCAGCAGGTGAACGAGAACCAGCAGTCTCGGATGCACGACAACATGGTCAAAAACGTCTCCCTTATTCAGGAACTCAACGGGAACATCTCCAAGGTTGTCTCTCTCTACTCTGATCTCAACACCAATTTCACCAACGTTTGCCAACACCGCTCCAAAAACTCTTCCAAATAAACAATAAAAATACCTTCTTTTTTCCTCAGTCATGTGTTTGCGTCTCTGTCTGTGTGTTGTTGAAGATGAAGAACTGTGATGGTAGTTTTGGGCCTTGTTTTGTCATCAATTGTCAATAAGGGCGGTGAAGGCGAAGCATTGTATCGTCCTCTTTACTTCTTTCTACACATACTATTGTACTTCCTTGTCACTCTCTGTACTTCTCCATCAATAAATTAACTTGTCCATGTCAATGGAAATTGGATCACTCTCTGTTGCACTTTCTTTAATTTTGTTAGAGAAATGATCCGTTTGTTAAGTTATCACTTACTAAACAATGATCAAAATGAGTTTACATAATTAATCTGATTAAATGATATTTTAGTATCAGAATTTGAAAAACACCTTCATATCAGTTCTATATTATTTGTTTCTAAACCTCAGAAAATTTTAAATAAATTTCTGAATGTACAAATCGACCATCAGGTTAATCCAGAATTCAAAAAATAGAATGTGATTAAAATAATAATATATATATATATATATATATATATATTCACTTACCAAAATAATAATAAATGTTAAATTTAAAAATATGACTCATATTCTAAGAACTTGATATTTTCTTAATTTCATAATCTAATACGAATACACTCGCCACTTTTAAGATTAATATAGCTGTTTACTTAAAAGCTTCATGACCTTTCTGAGATTTGATATTCACAGTAGTGACTAACTGACCACTTAAAGGATTGTTAACAATCTGGAGTGCAATATCATATTTGTGTAAAATCTGAATAATTATGACATCTGGCTTTTTCAACAGGGAAAAGCGAACATTTCGTTTATTTTATTTTATTGGGGTCCATTTGTCCTTTGGATTTAAATTGCAGTAGTGGAAGTGGAAAAAGGAGCAGAGGGCATGGATATGATCAATGATCCACTTGAATAAATAATTTATCCTCGTACCTATTACAAAAAATTAAAAAAGTTTCAGATAACACACTTCAACCTAATGTATAAATGATTACCTATTCTGACAATGCTTAATAAAATCCCTTCCCTTGTAGCAAGACCAGTGTAGACAAGCAAACTAGCAACAACTTAAATTACATTTATATCTGCAAATTTATTCCTTTACTAAGTGATGAAGTATGCACACTGATTTTGTGGATCATGGTGGTTGGCAAAGCTGACTTGTTACACCGGTGGAATCAATCTCAACCTATATAAACCATGTCATGAAGTTAATTCCCCACTGTCTGATATGATAACCTTGCTCTTAGGCGAGCCACCTTCACTTCCTTCTGCTTCAATCTTGTACAATATGTCCATACCAGAAAGTACCTTGCCAAATACAACATGGCGTCCATCCAGCCTTCGAAGAAACAAATGGAAGCATCTAAGATTGTGAAAGGGCCACAACAGTAGAAATAATAACTTGAAAAGATAGATTTTTTTCTGAGGCTCTTTTTCTTGTACATTATTTTTTTTGAAAACGTTTATATTCTATATTAGGAAGTTGGATGTCTAAAGTTCAGTCTTCTACTGATTTTCATTTATGTTTAAAATAAAATCCATTCTTAATAATTGAAAGGAAAATGCTCCTTTCCAATTGAGATTCAGCAAGTGCACAAAATGGAATAAACTTTTCCTTTAGAACTTTTCTTTTCCACCAAAATTTGTATCGCATTTTATTCCAAGAAAATAAAACCATTAAGGAAATTTGATATTTATAGCTAGCTGTCACTACTGCAAGGTTTTCACGAGAATATACCAAGACTGTTCAACTTTCAAGAGTTTGCAGAATTAAGTAACGCAATTAATAGAAAATTACCAGCTGGTTTTAACTGTTGTTATGAAAAACTGGGATCCGTTGGTGTCTTCTCCAGAATTTGCCATGGATAGGTATCCTAACAATCATGCAGAGAGGGTGAACAGGTGAAATAACATAAGATGTACTAATATTATCATATTATCTATATAAATGGAATATCAGTAGCAAAAGCACAAAAGCTAACCTGGCCCAGTATGCTTCAACTCAAAGTTTTCATCGGCAAACTTATCACCATAGATTGATTCTCCACCTCTTCCATCACCACGGGTGAAATCACCCCCCTGGACCATAAAGCTTGGTATAATCCTATGGAATGTGCTCCCTTTATAATGAAGAGGCTTCCCACTTATTCCCACTCCTTTCTCTCCTGAAATGTGATGCTGTTCAAATTTATAGTTTTTACTACAATGAGCTTATAAATATAATATCAAAAATGATGCCTACAGATCACTATAGATTAAGTAAGCAAGAAAACTATCATCAACATGAGAAGTGGCTTCACTTGAACGCCAAATAATTAATAACAAAAGTTGTAGAGCTACCTGTACAAAGCGCTCGAAAGTTTTCTGCACATAAGGGATGTTGAGATTAGTAACCAAATCCATCATGTGAAACCTACGTAAACATCTTTAGCATTTCATTATAGTATAGTATACCATACCTACTGTTTTTGGTACTGTGTTCCCAAAAAGACCCATGACTATGCGACCTGAAGCAAGAAACATTTTTTTAGTGTTTTGAGTGACCCGCTTAGGATCATAGCGTAGTGCTATAATAACTGAAGCCTAAACCCTAAAGAATATAACCACTAAGACATAAAATTTTGCTCTTCCTTCTTCACCAATAGTAGATGAGGTAACAAGACAAATGCAGTCAAGAAGGTAGTACAAATAACTGTTTCCATAAGTAAATTCTTGAAGGTGAGGTCAGCTACATGGACCACATAACGCTGTTTGACTTGAAGTCTGTTTCGATACAAGTTAGAAATGGTTTTGAAAACTTTTCTATAGGAAAAAACTATTTATTTTGGTAGTAAACTCTCAAAAGTTCTTCTATACTTGTATTCAAACGGACTCTAAGTAAAAGATCAGATCTTCACATGAGATCCATCTGGACAATTTTCCCCCATGTCTTCTTGGTCTCCCTCTCCCCAGAAAAATGTTACGACCAAGTGTCATTAAATCATTCATCTGGCAGCTGGGCCAGACATAGAGCAGCTCTATTTTGTTGCAAAAGTTCGCATTTTAGACTGCCGTGAATTACAGGTATTGGGAAAAAACCCAAGTCCCACATCGACTAGAGATTAGGCAATTGAATAATATATAAGTGGAAAGCAACCTTCACCTTACAAGCCGGTTTTGTAGGGTTGAGTTAGGCTTAATCCACTATTCTAACATGGTATCAGAGTCATTTAGATCCACTTTAAAAATGGGCCACCCCCCATTGATGCATGCCTTATAGGCATGAGGTGGTGTATTGGAAAAAAATCCAAGTCCCGCCAATCCTAGATCATTAAAAAGGGCCACCCACCATTTATCCACGTACCAAGCCCAATAGTGTTGGACGTGAGAGGGTGTATTGGGAAAAACCCAAGTCCCACATCGACTAGAGATTAAGCAATTGAATAATATATATGTGGAAAGCAACCCTCACCTTACAAGCCGGTTTTGTAGGGTTGAGTTAGGCTTAATCCACTATTCTAACATGGTATGTTGGGGAGTTTAGAACACTGGGGAGCATTCCACATAGTGAGTAGTGAGTAAGTCACACAAGTGAGCTTGACACCACAACATAACCTAAAACCTTAAGGCATTAGGTAGGTGGGTCTTTCTCACTTATATATTACTCAACATGCCCAACTCTAACCAATGTGGGACTTCACTTCACACTTGAACTCCAACACTCCCCCTCAAGTGTGAATCCCTTCCACATGGTCACACTCCTCCTCAAGCAGAAGCTTTTTTTCTTTCGTCCACGAGTATTTAATGGTGGCCTTACTTGCACTATCGTTGCACTTCAACGACACACGTCACACCTCTAGGGAGACTTTCAGTACAAGGGATGATCCTACTCTTGGATCTCCTGCCAATTCCATTCAGGATCCCACTCTTAGATCCAACCAATACTCGTCTGAGCCGATCACCAGTCACTTGGTCGAACCATCGGCTCTGATACCAATGTTGGGGAGTTTAGAACACTGGGGAGCATTCCACATAGTGAGTAGTGAGTAAGTCACACAAGTGAGGTTGACACCACAATATACCCTAAAACCTTAAGGCATTAGGTAGGTGGGTCTTTCTCACTTATATATTACTCAACATACCCAACTCTAACCAATGTGGGACTTCACTTCACACTTGAACTCCAACAACAGGACTGCCGAGGCTTATTTTTATTTCAAGTTTCCAATGTATATATTGAGAAATGCTATAAAGCATAAACACACAAGTTGTAACTTGCGTTCTTTCACTCTCAAAGTGACACAAATCCCATCCACTCATCCATCACAATCTGTAAGGCGGTGCCATCATGATCAATTCCATTTCAGAAACTAATAACTTATTTTCCTTTCAGCACACTTGAGAAAATCATGGCACCTCTTCTATTGCACAATTTCTTACGTATAGTTCTCAAAGGAGTGCCTCGTGACACAAACCACCTTCTGAAATCAGCGGGTGATGTGTACAATTAATGCATCTAAAATCCTGCTTACACTTATTTGCAACAGTGTCACATTCCAAATCATTGTCCAAAGGCAATTAACACAATCTAACAGATGCAAAGAAATGACATTCACAAAGCATTAAATTTTGGGGAAAATTAAAAAAATTGAACTTTGCTAGGAATGAAGCAAACCCGCTAATTTCCCATGGATCTCTACATCAAAATAGACCTTGTGAGTGACACCCTCCAAATCCTGTCCCAAAGGGGTATCCTACAGAACATGGAGAAGGGGTTAATGTGAATCTACGATTGAGCCACCAAACCCAAGAGGAGGAAATGAAGAAAGAGGAACCCTTACTGAGAGATGATGTTGAGTTGTGATTAAGTCAGCGCGGGAGGAAGAGTGGTTGGTTCCGTTGTCTACCAAGTGGAGCTGAAAGAAAGCAATGGTGGCGCAGAGGAAGAAAAGCCATAAGAGACATGCAAAAATCACCGTTCCAGTTCCTCTGGAGGCCATTACAAGCTGATGCAAAAGAGCAATAATCAATTGCTAAACAACCCTTGGCTACCGATTATAATTTTAATTTCTTGATTTAGTTTTTGGATCTTTTCGTTTTGTTCTTTTACTAGTTGCTACAGTGGTGTCCTTTATTATTATTATTATTATTATTATTATTATTATTATTATTTTATATTATTTTAGTCTTGTTATTTCTCAAAAATAAAATAAAATAATGCATATAAATATAT